ACAGTTTATCGCGATGTGCCCTTCCTTTTTGCAGTTGTAGCAGATTAGCGGCTTCCGTGATTCAAGCGCCCGTGTGGTATCAGTGCGTTGTTTAGAAACCTCACTCGATTTCTCCGCATCCGTTTGCCCTTCCCCTACAGTGTCCTTCGTAAGAGACGGGTCCTTCTTGAAATTACGGTGCGAAGCGGGTTTCCGTTGATCAGGTTTCTTTAAAAAGCCCTCTTTCCTTTCATCCTTTTCCACGCGCACTGCCCTGCTATGCAACTTTCCGCGAGCATAATACTCCTCAGCTAACTCTTTTGCCTTGTTTAGCTGTACTTCACCAAGTTTGTCCTGCAGCCAAAGTTTGACATCCTCCTCGATGCAGTGGTAGAATTGCTCCAATGCAACGCATTCCACCACTTTACGCGGTCGTCATAAACACCTTCGCCCTTGAGCCATTCAATTAAATCGGCTTTAAGACGAAACGCGAAGTCAACGTGTGACTCATTCCCCTTTTTAGCAAAGCGGAACCTTTGCCTGAAAGCCTCGGGTGACAACTTATAACGTCTCAAGAGCACTTCTTTAACCTCGTCATAGCTCTCAAATGCTTCCCTCGACAAGCAAGTTATCGCGTCGGACACTTCGCCGGGAAGAAGAGCTAACAGATTCCGCGCCCGAAGAGACCGCTCTAAAGCGTTTCGCTCACAGACGTGTTCAAACTTGACGAGATACTTCGCCATGTCCTCGCCTACTACGAACGGTGGCAGTTGGTCCCGAACTCTAAAACCGCTGACCTGAATCGTCGGAGAAGCCACGCTAGGCGCCTGCGAACACTGTAGGATTGCCAATTCTATTCGTTTCAACTCGAGGCGCTCCTGTCTCTCGGCCTCCTCCCGGCGTTCTCGCCTTTCAGCTTCTTCACGTTCGCGAGCTTCTCGCCTTTCAGCCTCCTCGTGGCGTGCTTTGATATCCACTCAGGCCTCATCTACTTCCTCAGCCGACACTCCCTCATCCTTCATGATTTCAAGGATCGCTTGCTTCCGTTTCGCACGGCCCAAAGTAATGCCGAGTTCCTCACAAATTTCGATGAGTTCCTTCACTTTAAGGTTCTCCATCGTTCACACTAGCCTCTTGCTGTTTGCCCCTGTTAACAATATACTTGCCGTACCCACTATAAGTCTACTAGCAAGACGCGCAAGCAATTTTAAACACTCCCGTGTTTACACCCTCCGCATTAACTTTGGTTTCAAAGCGCTTCGACTTGGCTTGAAACGATCAAAGCTCACTCTAATGCTTCACACAGCCCTTCTCTAAACTACTATAACCTGAGCTAGAGTAGTCTGGTGAACTGAGGGGAAAACATCAGGCACTCACCACATCGATGTTGCTGACGCCGGCCGATCCCGCAGCTGCCAACCACTGTTGGGACGCGCGCCTCCGACGACGTTACGAAGGGCGCTACGAATCTCACCGCTGGAACAGCTGTTTACGAAAGATTGCGACGCCAACACGGTCCCGAAGGCGCCACTGCTTCGAACTCCGCCGGGAAGGTCACCAGCCGTTTGGTAGCGTAGGTTTCTCAGCTCGCGACTGCTTCTGCGCAGAGCTGATAGACGAGCGGACGAGACGACGGTGAGTTTAAACAAGGTTTATGTACAGCATATATACAGAGGCGTTACGATTTCGGCACTGGGGCCAACAGAGACTCGAAGAGCCGAGCTCTCCTCTCTAACACATAGGTCTGCTCTCAAATGGGTCTGCTGTCAAAGGGGTCTCCTCTCGACGCGCCGCAGGGCTTCTTTTATAAGCACCGGGTCCAACCCAAATGTCCAACCGGAATCGCCACTGGTCGTGAGGTCGGACTCCTCCATTGGGGTCGCCGCTGGGCCGCGTCATTCTTTCTCATCGAATCTGGAGAGGCTGCGCTGCAGGTGTCTGCACCCAAGGACGAGTGACGTCGCTAGGCATTGCGTCAGCTGCCAGACAGGAAGACGCCGGTTGTTTACTCGACGGGCTCGCTTGCTGAGGTGACTCACTGCACGTGCACGCCAGAAAGGCGCCGTCGCCTGTTGATGCCTTAGAAGTGTGGCAGCTTGGGCTAGTTGGTATGGCATGACGATGTCTTTCGTGTCCTTCTTGTCTCTGTGTCGTCGTTTTGTTCTCGCGCTATAACTATCGTCTGTTGATGCCGTTGAGTTGTTCGCGTCAGGCGGGCTGGCCTTGACACAGTTTGCCTTTTTCAGAGGCACGGACGTTCGCTGTCGACTCGCAGGCATAACAGCAGTGATCCCAGCCGTGACAGCGGCCGGCCCCTGCCCTCGAGCGATGGCGCAGCAGCAGAAATTCGCCCGGGAGTTCGTCCCTGCCTAACATTCGTCGCGAAGTGAGCTGAGATGAAGAGAGTTTTTCGCCAGCGTGCAAAGGCTTGTCTTACAAGCAGGAAATGAGTATGCGTTTACCGCCCGTAGGCAAAGCCGTGTTCGGCGGTAGCAGCGCGTGAGTGGCGGACGTGTTATACCAGAGAAGAAGTTTTGTTACTGAACTGCGGCCAGTTGACGACCCGCGATTTTTCTGGAAGAGAAACGTCGACGCAGCGGGACGACGACCGGCGCTGGACTTTGAGTGAGTGTTTCGTAGAAGCATATAAGCTTTGTTCCAAGAACTTAGGACTGAATAAGTTTGACGTACATTCTAGCTCATAAGTGTGCTTGGTTAGTTAATGCATGAGATTGTATTCTAGCGCGTGTTATTGTTTGCGCCCGTTGTCTTGAATGTATTCGAGTGTCGTGTGATTGGTGTCGTATAGTATTCGATAATTGCCGAGTGGGCTTTTTTGTTTGTTGTTTGTTCTGCCTTATCTGATAATATATTTTTGTTTTGTTATCGACTCTCAGCTCTGCCTCATCCTTTGGACCAAAGCCGGCGTTCGCTTTCTGGTTCATCCTGGGAATCCCAGGCTTGCATCCGTATTACCCACTCTTGCAAGTCTTCATTTTTTACAGTCCTGACACTCAATACGTGGCCGCCTGCAATAAAAATGAAGACAACTTTCCCGATATCATTTTTTTTGTCAAGTTAAAGCTTGTTTAAACAAGCTTCACGTAATGTCTTCTCACGCAATAAGCTTCCGCCGGTACTACAAAGGTTTAACACTTCATTGCAACGTGAAGAGAAGCGTGGCTGTAGCGTTGACAACGTAGTCGCAGTTTTTTTTAAGGCGAAAGCGTTATAGATACCTCATCAAACGGCAAATTTGGCCGTCGGCGGCTCCTGTACAGCGGCGTTGGGGACGAATGCCGCAGAAATTCATCATCACGCAATCACTCATGACGTCATCGTGACATCACAAGTTCGGGTGTGACGCCAGAATTCTGACGCGACCTCGAAGGAGGGTGCTCCTACGCTTCATGATGCTCCAGTAGGTCCACCAACATTACGCCTGCATATTGTCTTTTTACAAACAAGTTTCAAGACCTGGTATGCCTCGGAGGTGAATACCTGATTGCCACGCAGGACAGTTGGCTTCGATTCCTGCTGAGACTGACTATCTATCTATCTATCTATCTATCTATCTATCTATCTATCTATCTATCTATCTATCTATCTATCTATCTATCTATCTATCTATCTATCTATCTATCTATCTATCTATCTATCTATCTATCTATCTATCTATCTATCTATCTATCTATCTATCTATCTATCTATCTATCTATCTATCTATCTGCCTGCCTGCCTGCCTGCCTGCCTGCCTGCCTGCCTGCCTGCCTGAGTGTTGGGAGAGTAAGACGGTTTGACAATTGGGACTGTCTGGTCACGACAGGAATAACATTACTATCCCGTCACGTATGTCCACGAGCACAAGCAGAAATATTTTCTCCTTGCCTGCACGAAAAAGAGAGGGGAAAATGAGAATCTGGTGAGAGTAATGCGAGCAATTTAGCCCCTCTCGTATTTTCAACCATGAACTTCGTGACGAGTTCCGCTAGAGCATCGTCACCAAAGTTAATCTCGGATACCATGCTTCGAATGTGCTGCTATTGCAGCACGACACGGCGTCTGCATATATGACGTCACCGCGCTTGCTCAGTGTAACAACGTCTCAAGCACCGCGGCCGCGGACTATTGCAAAAAAAAAAAAGCGTTTATTTTTCAGCACTCCCGCATCAATTCAGCAAGGAACAACGTGTGATTACACATATTCTACAGTCTTTCTTTTTAAAACTACTTTTCTGGCTCTCCTTCATACGTAGTTATATGTATAAAAATATAGTAAATACACTTTGTCGTTGGGCATTCACAAGACTGCTCTTTCGACTTTCTAATGTACCTATCACATCTGACGCATCTCTGCAGCCTGAATTTCACTGCACGTCACTACTAGACTCTGCCTCCTGCAAAAACAAAACAATAAAGTCGTAATTATATTGTAATCTAATTTGAAACGGGTGGCCAAGCACGTGCGTTCACAATTATTTAAATGTTTTAATTTACATGGCGCAGCCCTGGCCTTGGCAGCTACCAGCTCAAGAGGTCTGCTCCCTACCTCAAGGCTTTAAATGCACAACACGAAATCCGCGCGCTATTTCACAACACAAGTGTGGCAGCTTGGGCTAGTTGGTATGACATGACGATAGTTATAGTGCGAGAACAGAACGATGACGCCTTTTTGTCTCTGCGTCGTCGTTCTGTTCTCGCGCTATAATTATCGTCATGACAACACAAGACAGCATAGTATTAAGACGTTCAAGTCTCGCGCGCTGAATACCCTTGTTTGAAGCGTCACCTAAAGGTACTATAAAAAACAATTCTATTTTTGTAATTGTGCGAAAATTTTTCTAGTAAAACAATGCACTAGTAAAAATAGAGTCAATATTTTTTATTTGCTGTGAAGAGTTTTTACTTAAAAATGTAACGCAGCTTGAAATGTTATTGTTTGACTGATGTTGATGATAGTGAATTTATAATGAAGCTGGCGTCATCTGGCGCTGATTTATCCAGCTATTTTTGCGCATCGCCGCTACACTCGCGAAGTCGCCTCCTGTTCCGGTCGCCACCCACGTGTTCCCGGTTCCCGGTCCTTGCGGGGCTGCAGCACGGCGGCATCGGAAACTGCGCGCAGAGAACGTCGATCGCTATCAACCCCTGCCGGTGTCGTCAAGGCCACCGAAACATGGGCGACCAAAAGCACCGATTTCTCATACTCGGAGGTGGGTACACCGCAGCTGCGCTTGACCACCGACAGAGCCGCCCCCGTGATTGTTCGTTCACCTTCGAAGAGCGCGTTCTTTGAGCGGTGTGTCATTTCCGCTGTCAAGCGACCGGTGACAGCTCCTTGGGGCAAGTCTCCGATGGTGCACGCTTGTCTTGCCGCTCACGAAAACCGTTGACGCCCAGTGTGGACATCTGTGCGCCTAACCAATTTTTCCACGCGAGCAAAGTTTTATTTGCGAGTTTTCCTTGTTTACGAGAACGGAAGCGCATCGTCGACCGTCGATTTTCGGCTGTTTAGTTGCACGAAGGCGCTGCGTAATAAGATTGATAAAAAAAAAAATGTGTCGGGTCGCCATAATCATCAGCTATTTGTCATGTATAATAATACCAGATAAGTGAAGTCAGCGGCATTGCGACATTTTATAACGTTTCATAGCGGACGTTGGTGCCTTGTCAAGAGCTCGTTGAAGTCGCTAGAAGCAGCTTTGAAGGTCGCCTTACACAGTTCTACATATCACAACGCTCCTCTCCAATCCCCCTTACTGTCGCAGTGAGGTTAATGTCTTGGCAAGTGACCTAACTTTTGTTCTTCATTTTACAAAGCCTTTGGGGTGCAGGAGGGAATTATGAAGGATATTTTGTAATTTAGCAAAAAAAAAAAAGAGCCTTTTACCGAGTGCCTTTACTCACTCTTGTCTGTGCTTTTCAGCACTGCACCATAGCCATTGCTTCGAACACTGTGTGAACTGAAATGAATGTATCAATAAAGTGACTGCTCACGTGCCACGCTTCCTGTGCAGGCACTGGCTTTGTAGGACGACACCTCGTCGATCATTTACTCAAGAGCGATGTTGCCTCAAAGGTATGTAAGGATTTGAAATTCTCCAGACTCTTCTAGCACAATACATCGCTGCTATGCATTGTGTTGCAATTTACGAGTAACTATTCTTGGTTAGCAAATTAGTATTATGCAACTGAAGCAGCAAGGTCAACCTAAATGAAGTAGTGGTCGATCATTATTTTACCTAACAAATTAAGTCCCATCGTGACCGCATTATAATACCGTTTTGGAGTCATGTGGTCTAAGTGTTTCGTTATTGGCGCTTCCTTTTACAAGAAGTTAATTGCTTGTGAAAGATGGCTACAACTGCTCATTCAGTTTGTTCTCATAAAGAGAATAAAATGTGGGAAAATGTGAAAGTTAGCGCTGGTTTGTTTAAGTACTCACTTCAGTGCATTGTGTGTGAAAATGCGTAGTAGTGCAGTATGCTTGCTGGGCATGAGGTTAGAACTTCAGTGCCTGGCTGCATTATGAAAGGGACGGAGTGCAGAAACACACTCTGTGTTTGGATGGCATGTTAATTAAACCCAAATGATCAGAAATAACTTAGGAGCGCTCTACTGAGCCCACAAAAAGCACTCTGCCTTTTAAGACATTAAATCCCTGGTTTTAATTTGCATGTTCTGCAGTGCAGCGTGAGAACATCTTATTCTTGCTATACTGGCATTACCTTGTGTATTAGCTTAATGGCCAAGGTGCAACCCTGCCAAGCTTGAGAACCATGTATTTTTTTCTTTTCACCACGGTGGTTGCATTTCGATCGGGCAAAATTCAAAATCACCCTTGTACTTAGATAAACGCCTGGTGTACGTTGCACAGCCCCAGGTTGTCAGAATTGGCCTGTAATTCCCTACTGCTGCTTTTTTCTAGAACGTCTTTTGTGTTTTCACTCGTAAAACCGTGAATTACATTTATTGAACTTGCGTTGTAACAGAATAGCACAGAAATCAAGCACAGTCACTTGATGGCAACTGTTAGTTTGTGCTAAGGCATTCTTTGTTTGTCTTTGATGAAAATGCCTTGAAAAGAAGCCGTGGCCATTCTTCTTACACATTGCACAAAAAGCTCTTTGCAAGGCAGTTAGCTTGCACCCATAGGCACACTTAAATTTATGCACATTCAGGCATTCATTAAATTCATCATTTATGACAAAAGGCACAAATTATAGTGCTATGCACTTCTTGCAGTTAATTAAATGTAATTGTAAAAAACTGAAGAAATTCTCATGCGTGTACAGCAACAATTTCAATTTTTTTGGCAGGGCAGCCCATTGAGCCTAGTCTCCCCTTGATAAAACTGAGGCTGCAGGATCGTTAGTTCATTCATATTCTTTGAAATGCAAGAACATTTGTATACTGTGCTTTCAATGTTTGCTGAAAAAGAAGTTGATGTGACCAAAGGAACTCTTCAGTTTGCTTCTAAGGTGTCCATTATTCTTGCTCAGCTTTGGAATTCTTGTTCAACTAACCAATTGAACTGGCTTTTTTTTTTCTGTTTTTTTTTTTTTTTTTTTTTGCTTTCACATCGAATTTTCTCAGATCAGAGTTGTCGACAAGGTTCCTCCACAAATGGCTTGGCTGAACACTGCTCATAAGGTAAGCTAGAATATTTAGTTTTTTTTTCTTACCTCATGACAATTCATTTCTTCCTACATCAGTGAGAAGGCTTTCCAGTGGCTGGTTTGCAGTATAATTTGTGAAAGCTGCCAAAAGTGCTTGTCACCTACAGTGCATATGTGCAGCTTAACCTTTTCAGGCAGGACCTAAGAAGAATTGGGTTTAAATGCATCAAATTTACTCATCACTATTCCAAGTCTCAAACTGGGGCAACCGTTTGGAAAGTAGCATGAGGTCGGTCGTCTTCACACTTAAGCTTCTGGCGACCTTGGTCCTCTCTGGTAAAGGAACGAGCCAACAGCCGACAATCTTCTGTATATCTGGCAATGTCGGAAATCGGACTGTACTCTCAAGTGTCAGGTGTGTAAGGAAGCATGGTGTCTAGCATACATGATGGCTCACGTCTGTATAAAAGAAAGAACGGCAAGAATCTTGTGGTCGCTTGCGTTGCAGTGTTCTACGCATAAGTGACGAAAGGAAGGACGGCGTCCCAGTTTGCCTGGTCGGATGCGGTTTACATTGTCAGCATATCACTGAGAGTGCAGTTAAATCGTTTGGTTAGGCCATTTGTTTGCGGATGATATGCAGTCGTCTTGCAGTGAACAATATTACACTGAAAGAGCAATGCTTCAACGGCTTCAGATAAAAAAACACGTCCTGTGTCGCTCAGAAGTTCGCGGGGTGCTCCGTGGCATAGGACGAAGTTGCGTAGAATGAAAAACGCAACTTCTCTGGCTATTTCTATGGGTAATGCTGCTGTTTCTGCATAACGCGTAATGTAATCTACGCCGACGATGATCCATCTATTTCCAGAAGTGGTCGAGGGAAGCGGGCCGTACAAATCAATGCCGATGCGGTCTAACAAACAGGCCAGACACGCGAGAGGTTGAAGTGTACTGGCCGCTCGTTGAGGGGGAGCCTTTCGTTGCTGACAGGCAGTATAAGCGCTAATATACTCACAGACAAATTGATACATTCCGTGCCAATAGTACCTCTGATGCAATCAGGTGTAGGGCTTCGGAACGCCAACAAGGGCTCTTTGCAGAACAGTGTGGAAAGCAGCACACATTTGCGTGCGCATGTGGTGAGGTCTCATCAGCAGCCATTTCCGGTCATCAGATGCATAATTCCACTGATAGAGGAGATTATCTCGAGTGATGAAATGGGGCGCTTGACGACGTAGAGTTCCGGAAGAGGGAGAAGCTGATGGATCCGCCAAAAAGTCGAGCAGGTGGCAAATCCACGTATCCTTGCGTTGCTTCACTGGAATGTCAGTGATGTCGACTGGCAAGAAGGAAACGGACGGTGAAGCCATGGTGGATGCTAGAGGTGAACGGGAAATAGCGTCCGCGTCAGAGTGCTTGCGGCCTGATAGTTACACAACACGAACGTCGTACTCTTGCAGCCTGAGCGCTCAGCGACCGAGTAGTCCCGACAGATCTTTCAGCGACGAGAACCAACGCAGAGCGTGGTGATCCATGACGACGCCGAAAGGGCGGCTATAATGGTACGTTCGGAACTTAGCCGAAGCCCCAATAATGACGAGGCATTCGTTTTCCTTTACAGAATAATTGCACTCTGCTTTCTTCAGAGTTTGACTTGCGTAAGCGACTCAATAGGGTCGTTGGTTTAACGGAGCGTGGGAACCGGTGTCGATGTGGTGAGTGACGCTCTTCGTGCGGCCCAAGGTTGTCTGGGCGCAATCGGAAAGTGAGCGGAAGTCGTGCAGAAGAGCGAGAACTTTGCTGCAATACGATGGTGGTAGATCGTCAGCAATCGAAGGACGAAACTTATCTAGGGTTGAAGACTTCGAAACAGGTGGCGTCATGGCGTTTAGCTGAAGGTACTGTTCGTCCTCGGCGATGTCCAGAGAACTCAAGATGTCGGCGCCTTGTATACACCCAACAGATTCCCCTCAAAGCACTGTTACGGCAGGCGTGAGTGGGTTGGCAACGAGCATCATTGTCGCACCACATGTAACTGAGAGTGCTGCAAAGGGCAGTCATGAGCTGCGGCGACGGAGGAAGACTTCCGACGAAGCGAAGAGTGCTGCCCGTCCGGCGCAGTCAGACACGTCAGGGTGACAAGGGTCCATGTGTGGGGGGAATATCTGTGTTCTTCATGATAAGTTTGTGAGGTAGAGTATCCTCTGAAGGAGATGTCTGTAAGGGCATAGGAGCAACTTCTGCATGAGAGCAGTCTGTGATGGCGCTATGGCTTGAGAGGAAGTCTCACCCGAGAATAATGTCAGGGGAGCAGGACAGTAGGACGAAAAACTTGATCACGTAGAGTGCGTCTTGAATCGTAATCCCCGTCGTGCTCACACCTAACGAGGCCTATGGACGGTCGGTCGCCAGTGGGAGCAAACGCATGTCACATCGGCTCCGTCAGTTTGTGAATGTTTCCGAAGGTTTTTCAAACTCTACCCTTGAAAGGGGCACATCATTGGACAGATCAAGTCATCGCGAACCCATGGATACCAGCTTTTTGGGTGAGCGTGAACTTTACGAGCCTTAAGGCTCGTAAACTGCAAGAACTATACGAGTGAGCGTCTAGGCCTCATGGTGGTTGGGCCTGGCCCATACCGCGTCGAACTCAAAGACTGAAAAAACAGCCGAGATGGATGTAGACGAGGCAGGGACAGGGGAAGCCATGGACCACAGAACTGAACAAACAAGAAGCGTTTCCACGAGTGAAGACTAAGACGCTGACACCATTGCAGATGGCTAGATTGAAGTTACACGAAAAAAAGAAGACGCGCGAGCCAAAACAAGGTGGTGAGACAAAAAGACACAAGGCCGCCGAAGCATTGTCAGCAAGGTTCTACGAGCAAGCAAGATGCCCAGACTGCCCAGGGACGATATCAAGGTAATTGTTCGACCGAGGGAGGGGCTGAATATAAGAAGCACGTGCGGTGCGAGTCTTGATGAGGCGATACGCAACGGAGCAGGAGTGGGCGGCGACGAGATGATCACAATCTGCCCCAACCCCACGCAAAACATTTTGGTGATAAGCACATCGGAGGAAATCACAGCGACAGAAATCGCCAAGATGAAGGTTTTGACTATCAACGGAAAGATCGCTCCTCGTGATTCACTCCTCGTGATTCGGCTCTGCGGTTAATGCCTGCCCTAAGTAGACATAGTCTTTTACAACTTGAAGTTCACTATTACCTGTCTCGAAGCGCTGCTCTTTTCCGAAGTTGTTGTACATTACTTTCGTTTTCTGAAGATTAATTTTAAGACCCACCTTTCTGCTCTCCTTGTCTAACTCCGTAATCATTAGTTGCAATTCGTCCCCTGAGTTACTCAGGAATGCAATGTCATCGGCGAAGCGCAGGTTACTAAGGTACTCTCCATTAACTCTTATTCCGTAACTGTTCCCCTTCTAGGCTTCTGAAAACCTCCTGTAAACATGCGGTAAATAGCATTGGGGAGATTGTGTCCCCCTGCCTTACACCCTTCTTGATTGGTATTCTGTTGCTTTCTTTATGAAGCACTATGGTAGCAGTTGATCCCCCGTAGATTTCTTCCAGGATGTTTATATATACTTCGACACCCTTATTCTGCAGTGTCTGCATGACGGCTGATATTTCTACTGAATCAAACTCCTTCTCGTAATATAGTGAAGCATATAGTGAAGCAGAGAAGGTGGGAGGCCAGGTTCAGAGACTTTCAAGAGCGAACCCCGTCACCATCGGATAGCAATGCTGGTGCGGTAGAAGGAGGCCGCCCTAGTTGCTCGAGATCCAGAACCTGCTCCCAATCAGATCCGGATCCCCCTCGCCGGTAAAAAGACGGAGCAAAAGTCGTAGTACGAGCAGAAGTCAGAGTCTGAGCGGAAGCCGCAGCGAGAACCGACACTACCCCCAACAAGACATAGGAGGGGCCACACCTGGCGGGAAACAGAAAAGGCCGCGCAAAATCACCTGGCACGACATAGTCACGGGAACAAAGGCGGACTCCGCACAGGGGCACCATCTCTCCAGCCGCCCGGGGGCAGCCGCCGACCCCGGCCTGGCGACGAGAATGTAAAACATGGAGAAAGAGAATAGGGAGCTTAGACAAGAGTTGGCCAAGGCCAGAAAGCAGAATGAAAAATCAACGCGGAAAATTGAGGAGCTACAACAGACACTGAACGAAATCCTCAAGCGAATGGGTGGACATCCCGCAGAGACCCCATCCTCTGGCGCCTCCTCGTCCCATGGAGCTGCCGATGAACGCGACACGACTTCAGCAGTAGGAGACGGGGACACCGACATGTACTGTGGAGGTGAATATGAAGCGCCGGTGGCGGTGGGCTTTAAGCGTAAGAGCCCAAGCGATTCTCAACATTTTGAAGGCGTTGAAAATCACACGCAAGAACCGAAGCGGGCACGACCGGCAGACCGAAAGATAGACGTGATCGGAGAAATGGTAGACAAACTAACCAACAAGACAGAGCGACTGTTTGAGACGCTCCTCATTCGGCTGAACGAGTCTGACGCCGAAAGGAGTGCATAGTATCCCGCGGTTAATAACCAACTTGCAGCCGTGAATAAGCGCATTGGATATCTGGAACGCGGCACGGCGCAGTTGCAGCAACAGGGACAAGGCTTGACGAATTCGGAGGGGACGCATCGACCATTCTCAACAGAAGCAGCAATGTCAACACCACCCACACTGAAAAAGGAGGGACGCACGGACAGTCGTGTTCCCCTAACGCCTTTGAATAGCAATCATGGCTGCGTCCCGCAAGTTTGTCGGCAGACGCACCGTCTGGCAATGGAACTGAATGGGCTTCAAAAACAAGAAAGCTGCAATGGTGAAAGAAATGAAAACTCTCTCGAAAAGCAAACTTCCCGACGTGATTGCTTTGCAAGAACCTTTCGACCGGGCTCAGCTACCAGGCTATGTGGCATGTGGCTCTCCGTGCGAATGCAGGCGGAAGGACATAAAGGTGTGTACCCTAGTTAAGAGAGGAACGGCCTTTATCGACCA